TGTGTGTGTGTGTGTGTGTGTGTGTGTGTGTGTAGGTGTGTGTGTGTGTGTGTGGAGTATTTGTATGCAGCGGTCGTCACAATATTGTCATATTCAACACGTGTAGTAAATAAAATATATTCTCCGACCCCGATCGATAACGATGACGATAATCTGTAATCGTCCCGACTCAAGGTCCTCCGACGGATTATTATTTAAGTCTGTTAGGGCGTATCGCATTATATTATTATTACTAATATTATTATGAGCGCGTACGACGAGGAATTCGTGTTAATAATAAATTCAGTGCTGCAACGTACAACGTACACATGCCGTTTACTTGTGAGAAGACTTTTTTTTTTTCACAGTGAAATAGTCCCTCGTGCGGGACGATGAAGTCGAGGGTCTTACAGGACGAAAGAAAACGACCATTTGATTTTTTCTGCGAACTACCATCGCGTACACGGTATATATAAAATACTATCATTCATCATATTATTATTGTTATATTAGAGTCGTTATTATTGCCGTCCTTAGGCTTCGTAGTCAGCCCGACCTGTACTTATATACTCTTTTCGGAAACTAAACTCGTCTTGTACAACAATAATACTAACGATCAACTATGTACGATTTTATGTGATACGTGAAACGAAATACAAATACCTACACCACGCTCATTACGGCCTGATTGGGGAAGGATTCTCGAGGGGGTGGTTCTATATCGTGATTGCACATAACTCTCGTGTTTGGTATCTATAAATATGATATGTAACCTACACGTGGGTTTAAGTGCCGCGCTACAAGAATTAGTCAAGAGCTATTACATATTATAATTTATAATGCATATAGCTACATTTATAATAAATAACAATGACAAAATGTTTACTCAGTAATAACTAAACTGTTGAAAGCTAATACAAAAAACCTTTTTACTGGGAGACTGAACGGAAAAAGACTGAGACAGATACGGCTAGAAAGTAGAAAGAGTGAAAAATAATCTTACTGGAGTCCTACAAGTAACGAGGATAGAAAATCGAGGTAAATGGAGAGGAGTGGATGAGGCATCGGAGGTCCTACATATACTGCAAAAGCTAGGAAATAGGAAAAGAATGTAGCTCCATATGTCCTCTCCCTTCAACTATTAGAATTTTAATACCAAATCAATTACATTAGTTTGTCAACGTTTGCACTCATGTGCAGTTCTTTTGGAGATATCTAACTTTGAAAGTGAGGAGACTAGGTGACAAACTTTGGCCACCCACCACAGCATTTCCACATCAAATTTAGGAACGCTATTCTCATACCGTAATAATAAAAACACTAAATTTTTTCATATTATTGTATATTGTTATCATTACTATCGTTAAACACACATACATAATTATGGAGAAATACAAGACAACTTATATAATATACATGTATATGCATAAAATATAGGCGAAAAATATAATAATTATATATTGTCATGAAATAAAAATTCAGATTACGATAATATACTTAAAATAAACTTATATAAACTAAACAATAATAATAATAATAATAATAATAATATTATAATTAACTGGTATGCATGCGTATAATAATATTATAATATTGATCACGTAATCGTTGGTTGTATATATTTATAGAATATATATATATATATATACGACAACAAGTGTGAACAACGCAATCGACGCGAGCGAACATTTGTACGACAATTATTATAATAGTTTAATAATACGCGATATGATCATAATATATTATTGTTATAATTATTATGTTATAAAATGCAGTGCGTCTGCCGCACGCGCCGAACACGCGTCATTGTTCGCTATAATAATATAATAAAAAATTGAGAGGGAAAAAAGGGCATATAAAATAGGCGTACAATGTATATGTATATATTATTATAATAATGTCGATAATACCAATATTATGCGTTAAACCTAAAAAGTCTAATCGTAACGTACCTACGAATATTATAAAATTATGTATACGAATAGCGCGAGCTTGAAAGAAAAAAGTATATGTATAAAAAAAAATCATAATAATAATAAACAACAAAGATTATATATAAATTACTTTTATACAATACGATTTATTTGTTTTCATAAAAATTAAACTTAATCTCTTTGTTACGAATTAAAAATTGTGTATTTTTTTCTACAAATTATAATAATATGTATATATTATAAGAATAATCCAATCAATTTTACGACTCCCCCACACCGGTTCGTATTTTGTTTTTTGCTTTTTTTTCTATTCTCCATTCGATCTATTTATTTTCACTAGGTAAGTTTCATTAAAAAAAAAAAAATCGTATCCCAACTCACCTCTCTATACACATCGTCAACGCCGAGACGTCATCGTCAGATACCGGCTGGTATCTGCGACTGAATTTCGCTTTTCTGTTTTTCGCTTTCTACGAACAATTATAGTATACATAATATTATTATCATCACCACGATGACGAGGTTTGTTTGGCAGTCGGACTACGGTGTATACGCGGGAATTATAACAACAATACGATACTATTGCAATGTGTGCGTGTATGTTCGACGACCGTGGGATGATAAACGGTCACACGCGTCATTGATATAAGATTTCGAATTTTTCCGAAAACATGATATCGACGTAAGTGGCGACGACGATTTTAGAGAATTCATTAATATATATATATATACATATGCAATAAGTATTGTAGCATGCTAACTGCCGTATATTCGTAAGAAAAAAGCCCGCGCGAGTTATTTTATACTATTGTAAAACTTATATGCATAATATTCACATAATTATAATATTATTAAAATAAAACGTGTGTACACACTACGGTATTACAGATTCCATCGCGTTCCGTACCGGCGACGGACCGATCAAATAAAATCGAAAACAAAAAAAAATCACAAAAATACATACACACTAAATATCCTATAAAATATAAAAAAAAAAAAAGAGAATAGTTAAAAAAAAAAGCTCGTTTTCCGATACATTATGTTATAATATATAATACAGATTTACGCGATTTACTTATATATATATATATGCATATAAATACATATATGTGTATATAAATTCATCAGTCGAGAGAACAAAACGAAAATGGATCTACTATATTATAATATATTGATATATATAATATATTTATTTTTAAATTTTCTTTTCTTTTATAACTGAATCGTTTAAATCGTTGTCGACGAGAAGCGCGAACCGACTTCGGTCACTCCACCCCGTTCGAATATATTTAGTCCCATTCTCCGACGTACATCGGAGTCCTGTGTCCCGTCGGTATGTAACCTCTGGTAGGTATGGGCAACCGTCCGTAGATGTGGTTGTACGGCGAATCGAATACTTCGGCGTCTGCAAAAAATAAACAGAAAAAAAAATGTTTGTGTTTAGTGCAAAGTCATCGACACACCTATAATAGTTAATATTTTATAATAAATAAGCGTTGAACACGTTTCTAACAACTAGAGCACTATCGCATGATACAATATAAATTATATTGTAATAATAAACAGTTTATCCTATTTGAATAATATCCGGAAGGTATGTATTACATAGACACAATATTTGAGTCTCGAGATATTCCAACGACAAAATCTGTTCGAATCGGGATGGCGCGTGGTGCCGTTGTATCTATAAGATTATTTTTGAAAAGTTTTATTTTAATATCATTTGTTTTAAAGATATATATCAACTTAAAAGTTCAATAGCATCTATACCTAAAGGATGTTGTCAGTGTGATCCAAGATCACCGATACATACCTAATGCCTTAATATAATATGCACTTTACGGAACGATCATATAATCGTGGGGCAGACTTTTCACTACATATTTTCAATTGATATTGTGATATTATGGTCAGAAAATAGGACAACCCTTTAAACTTAACTTTTACTTTAATAGTTTTGCCAGAAATTCGTAAAATATTAAATTACAGTACCTATAGATTTGTTTATCGATGAAACTGAATAGCTGTATTTTAATTGTATATAATTTTGTATTACCATAATATTATATTTTTATGTTAGTTATACATTTGCTTTACCGTATCGAGAATTTGCCGTTGGGAGAAGTCGGTGGACTAATTATTGCTAATTGGACGTTTTGCGAGCACCGTTTAGGCGTTCTCGTCGTCTTATTTGGACACGATTATATGAAACCGGTTATGGGTTAATAACATAATAATTTAAAAATAATATAATAATCATAAATAATAAAATTGCTCAACACGCGGGGTCGTATACTGTCGCCGAGTCGTTATAGAGTCCTTCGCCGCAGTCGTAAATAACACAATGTTATGAGTTACAAGCAATATATAATATGTAAGACGTCTACCTACACTAATAAGTCCAATGCACCGGTGGGAATCCTTTGACATCACAATTATTTTAGGGCGGTCTTATTATTATTATTATTTAAATTTATATTTTTCCAGGCGAACAGCCTCGAATTCATCCCTTCCTGCTCGGAAGTTGCAGTTATTTGCTCTGGCGCAGTCACTCCAGATAAGGTAAGAACAATGTCGGTCTTAGCCGAACGAAGAGCCGTTATGAAAACTCCGTGCAGTGTGATCGTTTATACGTGTGTATATAAAGGATCCCATATATACAGTTCTCAGATTTGAAATTTGATTTAATCTGTGTCGTTTGATGCAAAACCGGGGAACGGGAATCGTTGAACGCGTCTGAAACGATACGCAGGTCACGGTTTTCATCGCGGTTGGACTTGACGACGGCCGAGCTCGATAATCGATTGTACCCAATAATAATAGGCGTTTCCGGTGCAATTAAATTTGAATAACGGGGTCCGGATTCGCGCCGACAGCCGTGAAGAAAAATCCGCAAAAACAACCGATGTGGCGTTTAATTTGTACAACACGAATATCTATATATAATACATAATATGTGTACCGGAAGCAGTGTAAAATGCTTTTATGACCCAGATATTCTACGGATTTGCACTTGGTTTTAATTCGAAACGGGACCGTTTTACTTTTAAAAGCGACGCGTAATGGCAGTAGTATGATTCTACGACCATGCTAAACATGACCTTAAAATTTAAATATAACATTTATAAAAACTCTGTCTTTTGACATTTTTTAGAATACATAAAAATTGTATAGATGCCTTAATGTTTAACTTTTTATTTTTATTTAAGGAGTTGCCTGATTGTGGTGTTAAGATAACATTTCTTTTTTCAAATATGAACCAACGTTTTTTACTGTAATTAATCGTCAAATAGATTTTTAAAATATTATTGTTTATTGTTTTGAAAATGTTTAAGCATGTAAATTGAAATTCAAAGAAATTATTTTTATAGTTAGAATCTGAATAAATTCACTATATTAAATGGTAAATGGGGTTGAGAAAGCTTTGTGAATAATCCTGTATATAATACAATAATATACTATAATCCTTTTACCACGAAGCTTACAACACACTCTATTATGAGGTAATATTGTACCATTTACAATGTAGATATCAGTTATATAATAGAGTAGACGATAGCGGTTTTGGAATGAAACATTTTTTTTAATGGAGCACTTACAACCGCCAAACGGAAGTAGGATTAAATACGGTAAATAAATTATTGACGGCTCCATAAATGTATACTTCATATTATTATACTGAACACGTATAATTAGCTGTAGTTATAAGTATTAGTTATTGGTTATTACCTTTGGGAAATGAAATCGTGCTGATAGGAATTTTTTCTTATAACGAAATCGAATGAAAAGAGTCATTAGGACTATTTTAAATAAAATCTTACAAGACGAGGCGTCTTTACAGTGCCGTAATTGAAGAGCAAAAAGTGACAGTAAACTTTAATGAACATTTCGAAAGTAATCTTATCTGACCGGAAAATATGAATATAATAATTATACATTTGTTCGGAATAAACATGATACATACAACTTGTTTCATATTATTCTAAATATTATAATTTGAAAGCGTATTTTCAAAAATGAATATTAAACAACCATTCTAGCAGATCTAATCTAAATGTGTTGATAACGTCGCAGTGTTCTATAAATTTTTTTCAATCAAATAATAAATGTATGTATTTATTGTACGTACAAATAGTAAATTGATGCACAAATCTAAAATAAGTAATTGAAAACTTATAATGTTTTTATTTCCGCCCTACTGTTTTGTTATCCACTACTAATTATATTTAGCAGAAACGTCGAAACCACCAAACACAATAATTACACTTACTATGTAGAACGAGGCTGGGCCTAGATTAATAGGGTGTTGATTAGACACTTTCCCCCTGGGCGCAAAAGAAGGTCCTTAATAAATATAATAATGTCACTAAGACATTATAGTGCGGTAAACGAACGAATTTACATTAATAACTATAACGAAAATGACATGGACAACTGTCGTCATATTTTGATGTTATTATATATCTGTACAGGAGGCCAGTTGAAAAATGGTTTTGAAATCGACGTCACAATCCAGCAGCCGATGCAATAATAATACAACCGAATGAAACGGGAAATGGATAACGTTCGGACCAGTTATCATCGACCGCATAAAATCGAAATAGCAAATTGAAAATTTCGCCGAAAAGATGTATACCTGGTCATTATACTCCGATGTTAGTCGATTAATTAACGATATCTCGGGGAACTCTTGACCACCGGCACGTACATGCATATTATACTAATCGATTATATTCGATATGTTTCTATTTCCGATGCGGTTATCGAATAATGATTAATAATGAAATGTAATATAAAACGATTGCTTACCCATTCCGCTGTCGAAGCTGCGCGTGTGCCACATGGCGGGCTGCGTGTGATGATGATAGTGTGCAGTGGCCAGGTGACCGTTGGACAGGGCCATCGGATTCTGTTGGTATCGGGATGGAGGCACAGCGGTGCTCATTTTCGGGCCAACTGGCACATCTTTGATGAACTCCTTGGTCTTGCCGTTGGAAGTCTTGACGAAGTTTGGCACTCTGGCTCTCAGTCCGCAGTAGTACGGGTCGTCTGAAAACCAAAAATTTGTTTTTATTAAAACGATGCTCAATAATCGTTGCATTCGTCTAATCGAGATGGTATTTTATTGGTGTGTTATTTTTCGATTGAAAACGCGCGGCTGAAGACTGTTGACTTAGCTTAAGGTGAATATATAGACATAATATATGGGGCCTGTAATATGCGAATACAGTTCAACCGTCTTGGCAATCCGCCGTGGGACCAGATGCAGTCAAACTACCATAGGGCACGACCATTTTCTTTTTTTTACCGACATTTGTTTTTTGCTGAGTACAGGCGTTTCTTTTTTAGGTACCTAAATGAGCAAGTATATCGTCTCTAATAGTTTGTGATTCCTACACATAGAAGCCTGTGATCGTTATATCGTAACAAAAATATATCGTATACCATAATCCCCAATATCAGACATATGCCGAACCGTCACGACCGTTTGTCTTATCGTCTCGTGCCGCGATTCAAGCGAACATTTGTAATTACAACGGGCGCGGAGTGCTTAAAATATAATAATAATAAATTGATACTAAATGTCAAGGTACGCAGATGCCGTTTCGTTTAGTGAAAGTGCATATACGTCAGCCGGTTCTGCGCACACCGACCCGGCCTTTCACCTAGCTGCTGCAGTTTTATTTTTTCACAAACATCTAGAATAGCTTTAATAACAACGTGTAACTGGTAATCCGAGTGGATTACGCGATTACCAATTGCCCGTTTTGTATATGCGCATAATATAATATATTATTATACATTTTTTTAAACATATTTTATTTGAAATTATACAATCTGTAAAATTATTTCCAGTAAGCACTTGTACGGATATTAATATACTGTACATAACACGAATGACTAGTTAAGAAATCACTCAGCTGTAACAGTTGGTTTTTGAATTTTATTTCAAGTTAACGTAATTTTTATACACCAAGGCTCTTACACCGGTTTCTCTCGAGCCTTATTCTAATAAGATTTCCAGGTGTAATAGTGTTGGAAAAAAAGCCGATATGGGTGATCTTTAATTCAGGAGTGAAAACGTTTTTGGGTTACAGGTTATGCTGTTTCTGAGACGGTTTGAGTACTTAGGTCTAAGAGTAAAGTATGAGTTGAGAAATGATGTATAGGTGCCAAATTTTCTTTTGTTCGTATACCTAATGAAATCAACTGGAAAGTTTGTATTTTTGTATTACATGTTAATTTTTAATCATGCCATCGTAGAAATCGTGTTGAAATACGGCGTGTATCATTGCAATTTCCGATTCGCAATTTAATTTTTGGATTAAAAAAAAAATGTACAGTTTCGAACGGATGTCGGAAAAAATAGAAAAGTTTATATCGTTGTATAAACTTCACCATTCGTCACGAATTCAAATTGGCTTTCATTCAAGTCTTATCAGGTTAGGTAAAGTTGGAACATTTTAATGGCAAAAAATAGCAGCCTGCATATTATTATTCAATGCCCTTAAAAATCCAAAATCACATTAACACTAACGGTACGCTAAGTCACACTCCATCATGTATACAGGTATCTTCGACTAAGGTTCTCTGGTTCGTGAAAAGAAGAAGTTTGCTGGAAAGTATATGGTCTTTAAGAATATACATAAACATACCAAAAATCAAAACTTAAATAAACGACAAAATTGGAGTAAAGCATGCACGGTGGATCACCCTGTATATAGATCGTCTGGGAGAGGAGCAGACGAGCGTCTGGCGCGGCAGACGGATATGCAACAGCTGCTGATATCGCATATAATGTACCTACCTATATTATAATAATATAATAACGATGCCCACCATGATGACACGACGCATAAGCGTAGTAGTTGTACTAACTGCCTCGTCGCATTTTTTATGTTGAATTAGGTAATCTCGACGAAACGGAATAAAAAGAATACGAAAACCGGGCAAGGCCGTCGCCGGATGTAAAGAAATTATAATTATTATTGCGCAGACGCATTATGATGGGCAATAATAATGATATATAAGTTTTGTCTTTTGAAATCATCCAGAAAGCGGTGCCGCGCCAAAGTGAATATGCCGAGAAACATTAAAGAAATGTTTTATAATACTATTCATATCATACAACATGAATATATTTTATACACATATTACATTTATAGCGATAATAGTATAAAACAATTATAAATGTAATAATATCAATGGCCTCGCGGGACGGGAAATGTTCACGACTTATTTTCATTAGTTAGTACTTTTATATCGTACATGAATATGTTTTATTCGGAGCACGAGATTTGTTTGCGTTATTTATGTTTCCCATTATTTACGTGGAAACCGACTTGGTCGCATTTAGGTCACATGTTATATTATATAATTTAAACACCGATGACAAAATTAACGTATTCAAAACCGTCGGTTTATATTATTATATCTACCAAAATATAATATTAAGATAAATGTAATCAACTCTACGAAAAAAAATAACTGTGCGCCCGTTGTAACGCTACCACATAATATTAAATATATTAGACAAATTACTTTACGTTTTTAAGCCATTTTGTTAATAAAATAAAATAATTTTATTTTAATTTGCTGCAGCCGTTGGCGCTATTTACTAATACGTTATAATATAATGCGGTAAAGGTACCTATGGTATATTATGCATAAATGTGCAGTGTGCACAGCAGATGCAACCTTCCCCGAACGATTACACTGTGGTGAAATCAGCTCTGGGACACGGAATTGCGATTATTATTATATTACAACTATATAGTATAAATATACTATAATAATAATATATGGCGTGTAGCTTTACCGATTGTATACCCACGATGGGCGGGTGAATCCGTTTGCGGGGCAGCACACAACTAGTATAATACGTATTTTTTTTTTTTAATGGCAGATTATCGTATAATATTTTGTATTATATTGGCGCAAGAAGGGACATCATTGTATTAAATAATACTTATAAGCGTACGAATATGTGTATGTATTTACCGTATTTTTTATTGTTGTCCTTGACTTTGTCCTTTCCCCTCGACGAGGTGAACTGCTTCATGGAGCCGACCAATCTGTTTTCTTCTTCTTCGATGTCATCGTAGTCGGGCTGCAATTACCAGGAGAAAAAATTATGTAGTTTAGACTTTTGGAGAAACACTTCCGACAAAATTACAAGTGCATGAAAAAACTGGAGCGAAGTAAAATTGTCAGAAAGTATTATATACATAAATCAATGGATATTTACTCGGAAAACCAAGAGACCATGTGTGTATATGATAAAACGCGTTGATAATATATCATAATATGATGCACCTATCATTTTATATCGTATATTATATATAATATAATATTTTAATCTCGCTTTCATAACGTACAGTTTTGTACATACTATAAAATTTAAGTCACTCGCCTCAACGTGATATTCAATTCTCACGTCGTTTAATTTTTAAATACTGACGATGCCGATAATAGGTATACCCTATATTACTAATCGAAGATGATCCATAAGTATTACATATAATATTATACCGACTTAGGACTTATAACATCTTCAAAACGATCATAGCGAAATGTTACCAGCCATTAGTGGCAATTTTAGTGGGTAGAAGAATACTGCGGGGGTATCTATATATAGCAATACGATTCTCTTAGAAATTAAAAGTGTAGGTTATTCTTAAAATTATAATTCCCTATAAAAGGTCTATTTTTTTTCTACTTTCAATCTGATAATATTATGCTGTCCATGTGTGTGTTCGGAGGAGGAAGGATAAAGCAGTAAGGACCCTTAGCTACGGCCTACTAGTATATCGACTTCTGAGGGTTCCTCAGACCTGACCAGATTTTTCTTCTCCGAAATATCACCAGACTAATCTCCATCACCCAGCCACCAGCTCAAACACTGTGATTACATATTTAAAATATTATAAACCTGATATCTGAAAATATACACTCATCGAGCTAAAATATTGTTGAAAATCCAAAGCAAAAGTATTGATACAATATTATTAGTACACCGAGTAACACGGATAAAAGCGTTTCGTTACAGAAATATATGAATCTATAAATTTGAAAAACATCAACTTAACGCTTATATTCATTCAACCGAATTGCAGATATATTATAAAATATTAGCTAGGTATTGGTTATTAATTTTACCTTGGGTATTTCGTGCGGGTACGGGTTCGACGGGTCCCTGGGTGGCAGCTTAGGCGGCTTGTCACCCCGGCGCGCCGCAGTCTGCATCATCAGCTGTTCCCGAGTGGCGGCCACCATGTTTGCTCCGGCTATGCTGTACGGGTCCTCGTCCGGAATTGGGATCCTGGGCCGATTTTTGATGTCCACCGTGGTGCGTTTCACTGCGTAAACAACAATGCGCACGACAACGACGATTAAAGACAGTCGGATGACATTACAATAATGCAATTATGTGTTAATATTAAATAGGTACTATAAAAACAGCGACTAATAATATATCACACGGGTCAGTGGGTACGCACTACTATAGGACAACTCAAAATCACGGGGAGGGGATTTCCTAAAATGATAAATGACTAACAGTAATTTGAATATTCCAATGATTTCGAGTGGTGAAGTAATCTGCAGAATTATAAAAGGTATATATTATACATAGAACGCGTCACACCTCATCCTAGCGTTCACCCTGTTCTCTACCACGATCTATAAAAGAACCATTCGTTGTGCAGCACCAGAGACTAACCATCAGTGTCCTTCATATACCTTTATATTTTATAATATCAACCAAACTCTCCGAGCGTGTTCATTTAAGCTCGTGACGATCCGAATACGAAGTACGATTATGTTATATTACATTGTTTTATTCCGTACGAACGTTGTACGACCGTTTTACTCTATAATATAATAATATATCGCAGACACCGACGCAGCCTGAGTACGTACTATTATTATTATTATTATTATTATTATGCGGTGTCCGGTTAGACGCGACCGTTTTGAACCATAAACCGATGGAAATCGGCACCGAGTCACAATAGATATATGCACATAACAAACGAACGCGTATCCCTTTTTAAGAGTGTTTTAACCCCGGGTCCGCATTCCCGTCGGCAACCCGATTTTCCCCTCCTTCCACAGCGATAACCACAATACACACACACGTATATATATATATATAAACAAAAAAAAAAAAAAAAATAAAATAAAAATGTGTGTGTGTGTGTGTGTATGTGTCTATCTCTCTTTGTCTCTTTGTCCGCGTCTCCGTCTCCGCGTGTCTCTTTCGACCGAGAAGAATAATAATAAAATAAGTCATGACCGCGATACTCATCATCTGCAATGGTTAACGGTTGTGCTTAATATACATGTGTATAATATGTATTATATTATACTCCTAAGTGCGCAATCGACAACGGGACACTGCACCGAAACGGATTAATCGCGGCGACGGACGGACTGTGCGCCAATTAAAAGGTCACTGCCGCCGGGTAAAAAAACGGCAAAAACTGCACTTGACGAGATATCGCGGACACGACGACGACGACGACGACGACGACGTAATAATATATTACACGAACGACGCGCGCGCGCTCAGCCGACCACCCACGCCGCCCGTGGACATGATCTATGCGAATGTAGGACGACATGTGTTTTCCCCTCTGCCACGAACAATCGGATAGCGTACCGCGCAAAGTCGTGTGGAAATATCCCTCCGCTCACCAGCGCAAAAAATTCTCTCGATCTCCGCGGCAGAGTATTACAAAATTTCGACTTTTTCGAGCACACTTTTTCAATTCCATACCGTCACATTAATATAATATATTATTATGCTTTAAGAGCGCGGGGTTAGCGTTCGGAATTCCGTGGATCCACGAAACACTTTTTTCGTCATTAAAAAGTAAAAACAAAAACACATTTCGGCGTGTGACGGAGCGAAATGTTATCATAATAATAATAACATCAGCAACGAGACAGAAATCCTGCGGACTTTGAGGGTTAAATACACGTGCTACTATTCAAACAGGTCATAATGCCGAAGACCGGACAAAAAGTTTATCGATGTTTTTGGGTTGAAAAAGTTCGATCGTATACAATAATGTATCGCAACTCGCACATACATATAAACTTATAAACTTCTAAACGTACAACACGAGTAAAACTCGTCATCCGCCGAGACCTGTTGCTGCAGTACGTAACACTATAATAATATATAATATGCCGATGACCGACCGCAAAACTACATTCCCGTTCGATCGTTAAACTAGTGCGTATATAGTGTATACGTTATACAACACAACGATTGAACTCTATATTATTTTATCATCGAATAAACGATAGAATAATGGACCTTAATATATAGCCTAACCTATGGGAGTAATAATTGTGATCTGAAACTCGGTGCACGAAATTTAAGGTTATAGTTTTATTTTATTTCGTTAAAATAATATAATAGGTATAGTGGTATCCACTTATAATATTCTTAACCTCGATGGGATCGCATCTGCGCTGTCCAATGTATGAGGATTCGATTTAGCGATATGTCGATCGTGATGACATTTTTGTTGGAATTTATGCGGGAGGAACCCGACAAAAATTAAGAAAATAATAAAACACTTTTGCCGTCGATCCGTGAATTCTCAGAACATACGATATAAACATAAACATTACACTAAATCGGTCAGGGTACGTACATTCGAAAATATTACGATAATCTATAAAAGCCCCGAGACGGAGTGTAATGTAATATTATTATACGATACGATTTATTACCGCGTGTGGCACGTGCAGTCACGAATTTCGCTGGATTCAATAACACTGATGCAGCGAGTGGGCACCGAACACGCACAACGATGTATAGTGTAATAAAAATACCTACATATTATAAGTATTTGATAGCCGTATTCAAAATAAGTAGACGTCTTAATATGTACGAATTCAGGGAAACCTAAGATTTTACATAGTTACCTTTAAACTACTACCTCAATACCAAAACAAATCTTTGGGTCCCTAGAGCACGTATTGCATCTTTCTACTTTCTACCCCCTTCGACTACATAATGTTATAGCGCACAAATTCGATACAACCCTAAGTGATATAATATAAAATCGTAAGAACTCGAAACATCTCACACATCCGCTGCTAAATTGCCACCAAGGATGTACCTATATGGCAGTATAATATGACGTTATTAAAGCGAAAGTATTGCGCAAACGATTTTGTATACAAACGAAAACGGCGTCAAGTATCAACATGTTTACACACCGTCACCGTAGCCTATATCGTTGTCATTCCGGGTGAAGATCACTGCCCGTCAAGATTCGATCTCGAAAAATCGGTCTGTGAGTGCTCCTTTTACGTATACACACAAACGCCTATCTACATTATACGTCACATTATAGTATTATACGTAGGTATTAAATTGTGCAACTATCATGACGAGTCCAGCCATATTGTCACGCAGAGATAGATCGAATATAATATATATACCTACAATACGCGCGCTTGTGCAGTGTATATGTGCGCGCCAATTTATGATGAACTTTGGTACGATTTTCTCGATTCAAAATCATTTCGGTTCAGCGACCCGAATCTCTGCAGATATACGTATTAATATAAATTATAATATATAATGGTAATACACCCGAGGACCGCCGAACGAATCAAACCGCGGTGGGAACCCGAGCCTCCGGGGCTGTATAGGACTAATCAAATCGCGGTCCTGTGACCAATCAAAAGAAATCGGGACCCAGTGTCCATTGTTTGCGACTATTATTGCCTGTCTGCGGGCGCGCACATTCATTTCACGCATCGCTCTACTATAGGTGTTATCTATACTGCAGTATTTGTCTCCGCGGCCTTTTTTATTTATTTATTTTTTTTGCCAGGTCAATGGCGAGTACGTGCGCATATAATTATTAGATACATTATAATAACATATACGTATAATGTATATATATATATTACAAGTAAATGATTCAGTCACAGAGGACAACGCTAGGGAAAGAACGTCATCAGCAATGAAATTTCGTCCAAGCTCAAAACTAGATAGTAATATAAAGAAATGTTGTTAAAAAAAATAAACTCGTTTTGTATATGCTAGAAATGTCTTTCCTATCACATAAATCTCAAGATTAGTGTTTAAAGATGGCAAAAACATCGGTAAATCGGAACTATATAAGATTTCAATGCGAAAACTATGGTACTGAAAGGACTTCGGCAAAATAGGCCTGTTTATTCATGTTACTCTTATGATCATGGATTCCACAATATTGTCAACTTCGGCTCCCCTCATCAGTCATAACTATATTCAATAATCATCTGCACAAGATATTTGATATTTATGGATTATTATTATACAAAGGTTGAATAGAGGCGCTAATAAAGTTTCAAATTCTGATTTTTGCATTTTAATGAAGATTATGGTATGATATACATAATTCGTAACTCATACCATTCCGTATTCTACGTGAAAGGTCGTACGAAATAACAACTTTTGATTTTTAAATGGCTTTGATGGATATATTTAACATTGCAATGACGATGAAATATATAAATACCTAAAAGATTTCAATAATTCTTAACTTTTTGATAAATAATTGCTAAAATATATTACCCAGCTATAATGTCATATTTTCCCACATTAACGTCTTTAAGATTAAAACATCTATATAATATACAAATCAGCGAACCCCTATTTGTACCTACATAATATGATAATATATCAAGTATAATATACTTGTATATCTAGAGTTATAGCGCTTCTTATACCGCTGTACCGCCGACATATTTGGGAGACTTTAACGAACGCCAACAAGTGAATAAAGGAAAAATAGCAAAATTCCACTAGTAGGTACCTAATATACTCGTATATAGGTACAACAATATTATTATCGAGTAAGATGTGTTGAAATTCGATTGTTTTATATTTATTTCGAATATCCGTATAGTAGTAATACGTGGTTGACGATTCCATACAAAACAATTATCTCTTATCGATATCAAAGACGATAATACAATAATAATACCCCTGCTGCAGTGAGAATGGTTAATATAATAATAAAAATGAATAAAGTAATATCTTCGAACAATGGCATACACCCCCCCTCAGCCCTACTCATATCACAGCGAACATATATATTATATATGCATTTATGCGCTAGAAAACGAAAGTGGACAGAAAATACAGCACAACACTATTATTATAATCTAATAATAATCATCTCCCAACGATAATTGCGAGAGTGGGAAAAAGAACATGGTTCGACGAAAAACCACTTACTTGGTGGCAATTTTGACTTGAGCATATCCATGGCTACGACGTTTATGATCAACACCCATATAGGGCTGTCCAACATGTCCTGTTCGTTCTTGACGAAGCTGATAGCACTCAAACACTGACATTCCAGACGCCTGCGGTCAGGGTACGCTCTTCGCAATTCTCTGGACACGTTCTGTTGGAATTTTTTCATGTCAAATAACTGAAACGGAAAAATAAAATATTATTATTACTATTAAACACCCGGAGATCAAATGAGAGTGTACACGTTTTTCGCTGAGTGTGGGGAGAAGTCTTATAATATATTATTATTATATTTGAATAATTCGGTCGATTCGGAAGCCACGTAATATATTATATATTATATCGTTTATATACTTTGCAAACCAATTATGGACAATAATGCAAAATAATTTCATTTATACTATTCCAATAATGTTTTTCACATTTTTACAGTATAGTCAAATACAGTTTGGTATTACACATTTGACATTAACGATTTCTTATGGTATAATAATGTATTTCGTCTGTTATTAAGTGACATATCTTTCTCTTTTGTCGGAAATGAGCAACTAGAGAAAAAAACCAACAAACAGTAGATACTTATGTACATAATATTTTATTCTCGACTCGACACAATAACGACAACGACTGAAATTGGAAACACAATTGGGAAATTATTCGACGACCGTCCGTCCGGCATCAATGTTTGGTTCACACAAGTCTATTACAACGAAATCTTAAAACAATAATAATATCAAATGTGTAACAATAGTCAATAAAGAATTCACCACTTCACTCGGGCCTATACCGGATAACTTTTTGTGGCGCTACCGAGCCCGGTGCAGCTGATTTTCGTAACTAAATATAATAATGGCACATATATAGGTATATAATATTATATGTATATATGTTATTTTCACGAACGATATATATTATATTTTTAGTCTCGCAAACGTGCCGCCCAATAGCCGCGTTTCGCGGTCGACCCCAAGTGTATATTATAATATACTAAGTACGATATTGTCCGTGAGTATAAGATAAATTCGCCGCCGGCGTGCGCATTTCAATGGACACCTTATCTGCGGCGGCGACGTGTGCGCGCGGGAAGGCCCCGCTGTGGAATGCATTTACGGCGAAAACAATTGTCGTAAGTACGCTAGAGGTGGTCGAACTAATTACCGGGGCATCGGGAATTACCATTCAATGAACCGCTCTCCTCGGGACGGGTCGCAACAGCGGTGTATATTATATACCTATATATACAAATGTAGCTGCGGTACATGATGTATAATATATCAATATATACAGGTTGGTAGGTATACTATAGGTGCTGTAGGTAGGTGCAGACGTAAATCAAAAAAGAAGAAAAAAATTAAGAAACGACTCACAGAAGGGAAATTTAAAAAAAAAAATGAACGACCATTGTTCTGTCTCTAATTCCCTACCAAACACATCCCAACCCCCTCTCTCGCACGACCATATTTTTTGACCTTCACGCGGAAAGGCTTATCTCGTCGGTTGGAAAACAAAACGAGGAAAAAACCTATCCGCGTCAAACCATAACGATACCTATCTCTAATTACGCGTTTTGTTCGGTTGTATATAATATTATATATTATAGATAATACATATATATAAATAATTTGTATAAACTCGTTGATAATACATTTTATTATAATATTCTGCGGCACATGATCGGAGTGGAAAGACAAAACCAAAAAAAAAAAACAATACTGCCCTGACAATGACGATGACGAGACGATGACTATTATGACGACCACCTACGCTTTATATTATATACCTAGATACCTAGGTATCTGCGTCGCTTTATCGATTTATATAAATTTTTTTTTTGTAAGACAATACGTGCGCAACAGAATTGTATATATATAGCTGCTATACATGTATGTACCTGTACCTGTAGTGATAAATGTATAAAGAAACGCTCGTTTTTCGGTGAATTTAATGTATTGGTATGTATATTATATTATGTACATATAGTTAATTTGTACGGGGAAACTATGCAAAGTGGTGAGACGTATAAGACGTTGTTTGCAAACCCGGCGATGTGTGACTCACAAAAAAAAAATTGTATTTACCGAATTAATATAATATTATTATATATACAATTCTATAGGTGCATGGTGATTCGCCAAGCATATACTCAACCCCTTTTTTCTTCAATAAAGCAGTTGTTCAAAATCTGATTGTTAAAATATGAACAAACCCTCATTTTCTTCTATAAATGATTAGTGGGTTATTAATTTAAAAATGTTGATACAAATATTCTTAATTATAAATTCGAATGAGTGTTTTCTTGATATTTGTATAAAGAATAATCCCTTAAAATTTGTTTCACAAAATATAAATTATATGTTATATTATTGGATACATTGTATTCATCATACTTTGAAATTTTTTATAATTTATAAATGTTGATAAATTATTATTAGTTATTAAAATATTTTAATAGCCATTGCCCCATATCTTCCAAATCCATTATCATGGGCCTATTATTCTTAGACCTTAATAGTACACAAATTCTGTAATGACTCAAAAACTACTATGTATTGATCTATTGTACCATTTAAAAATTCCCAAATCAAAAATTAAATAAATTCTTCGTTAAAGGGGAAAAATGGGGAATATTGATTTTTGAATTGCCCTGTATATTATTGGGTATGATCAACTAATGGAGATGGAGTGAAACCAGCAAACCCAACCGATGTTAGATCTAATAGGTCACGATTGAAATGCGTTCGACATAGCGATTTCATTTTTCGTAAACACTTGGCCAATGCTAATGAAGATGCATAAATAATATTTATCAGATACCTATTCATCATCAAAACGGGTTGGATCATACTACCACGGATCGTCATTGATGAATATTATAATTTTTATAAACAATATGCTATCGAAAAATCTAATTTTAATATTATGTCATTCTGTCATAGTAAGTATTATAATATATCATATTTTATATGGGCACAACGGATGTAATATATATATATATATATTGGTTTATTACAATAATATTATGATGATGATGTATTATTATAATACCTATGCATTTTGATAGAGGAGGCCTTGTAAGACGCGCATACAATGTTCTATTGTACAATTCGATATCGGAACCACAGCGGTAATAATGGTTTCCGTCTGATGAAATCATTTGCATATTATTTTGTTCAAAGTGCACATCCGAATGTGTTTTTGCAATATTACGAACACAAACAAGTCGTATTGTTTTATTGGGTTTATTATATACAGACATTGTAATACGCGTATAGGACGGCTCTGATCGATGATAATCTCGAGAAGAATATAACAACGATAAAATATTATAAAATACTTTACCAACGCTTATTATACTCTATGACATTGAAAATCGAAAAAAGTACAATTTTCACAACCATTTTAATGTATTATTTAATATAAGCCATGAGTTAATTTCAATTCCCTAATATATACAACTGAAATTTCTTGAAAAAATGTTTAAATTGTGCTCTGACATAGTCCGCATTGGTGATTTCTACATGAACCGATTATAGGTAATTGTTTCAACTAAGACGGTTAATCATCAGCTTGATTAGACCTTAATGTCACTGGAAAACCACACTTGTTTGAGACTCTTTACTCGAGCATTTGCATATTGTCCATGGTTGATCCTATTATTTATTCTGTGTAAGTACAAAATACGATTTGCAACGTGTTGATGAAATAACCAATATTATAAGTGAATATAATTATAAATGTTTTTGGGTTTTTAGAAAGTATTTTTAGTTTTTAAGACATATTTTTGTTTGGGCCCATATTTTGATAGTTAGTCGGACACATTGATAAATATTTATCGTTTGCCAAAGTAATAAAATTACTCGTAAATTAATTGTGAATTTATCATAAGCTTGATCTATACGGCGATACCAAATATTCATGAACAAAAGATAATTATTTATATGTTGACTGTGGACTCTACATAATTGAGCGCAACACACATATTATTATCTATTAATTATTTTTTACAGATATTTTTATTAGATTGATGATACATGTCTAGTGTCTACGGTAGTATGCATATTCAATTTATAGGAAATCAAAATTATCCACTACAGGGGAAACAAGTATTCACTGCTACAAAACCCAGTGCATACCCGGCAACCCCCCGCAAAACAGCCAATGCATAATATTCTTGTCGTATTGTCGAACGTGCATACCTATACATAAAAATAATCCTGGTGCCTATCTATATCTATCTATATTATAGTATTATACTAACTAAACGATAGTTATAATAAAATAACATTAATAAAATACACAGTACCCACACATAAAATATTATTTATCGTCAAGGCCTTTGAAAAAAATTATTATGCCGCGTTTTAAGAGATGGTTTTTAAGACTTTTAATCTTATATATCAGGCTGCTTGAGCGTGAATTTATTATATCATTATTATAATGCACTGACCTAACTTAACCTAACCTAACCTAACCGAGCACTGGCTGCTGCAGTGCCTTTATAGGATACATACACGACGACGGCTGCAGCTATATAGGTACTAGAATATATATATAGCGATGGAGACATAAAAGTCGGAGCGTTATCTAGTCATAAGGGGTTTTGGATGGGGGGAGAGGGAAGGGGACACGCACCTTGTTTCGTTTGGTCCGGTTATAACCTGTGCGGTAGTCGTCTCTTTATGTTACCGCTCACCACCCCACCACGCCGCAACAGACGTAACCGACTTTGTGTCACCGCTTCTGCTGCAGCATCACACGAGCTACTTGTATTCGTTATATATGTATGCAGTATACACACGCTGACCGACCGTAAATAATAATAACAGCAATAATAATAATAATAATAATAATGCGGTAAATGGCAAAGCTGCTGCAACAGCAGACATTACAAATGCAGCAGATTTTTTTTTCATTTTCTTTTTTTTTTACCGTTTCGATTGCACAATGACGTATGTAAATATTATTGATATAGGAAGCCATATGATTATATTATGTTGTTCTAAGCCCGATATCCGTATTATATTCCTGAGGGTCTACTGCAGTCTTAAGTCCATCTTGCATGGTTAAGCCATCATACGAGTAACCAGATTTGAAGACTATTTATCGAATGGAAATTTTTGGTATAATAATTATTATATATGAACGCGTTATTCGAGAAGTCAATTCTGAGGAATAAAATGACGTGATAAAGTAATAATCTTCTGAATCTCTATCTGCAGACCGTCAATAACGAATCTCCAGTCTAATACAACGGAGCATAATAATAGGTTGTTGGTGACAATCATTGTCATCTGTTGCACTCTTCATCATAACTAGAAACTTGACGTTCTCAAAGTTAACTTAACTTAAATAACCCGAGTTAATTCAATTTTATTTTCATTAACTTTTCCACCTTCGATCCATGGTTCTGTAGTAACAGTGAGCCAATGACCATGGTTCTGCGATTGATCCACGGTGGTTGAACGGCTAGGTAGTTCCGAAACCAATATTCATCTTATACATGACTCTATGTAGCTCTGTCTCTTGTTCGCTTCGCTCACCAACCTCCCGCTGTCCCCCGTTGACTTAAGGGTCGTTCTCTTCCTTGCATCAATTTAATTTGAAAATATTTACACAACTTTAAGATTTATAGTTGAGAGTTTTAAGTATTTATTTATTGATTCCCATGACAATAATATATTATGTAGAAGATAAGATAAACAAAACATTTTTGTATAATAGGGAGATTGTTATGCTCGATTTGCGCGCTATATGACCAAGGTACGATGTGATAAAATAAAATAAAAACTAACTATTATCGTATTATATACGTCATATACACGATAATTAATACATGAAATATACTATTATAATATACATTGTAATACACTAACCTTAACCGGTTTGTCGTTCTCCAGACAGTAGTTGGGTAATTTGAGCACGTCCGCCCCGATGCTGGTCTCTTCACCGGCGTTCGATATGCTCTTTACGTATACGTTCTTCCCGGACAGCCTTTTCACGAGAATGTTTCCTTGATCGTCCATCTTCACTTTAACACCCTGCGCGAAACACGTGACGACGGTTAATGCCATTATTTATTAATAATATATTGTTCTGTGGACGTGTGACGTGTATGTGTGTGTGTGTGTGTGTGTGTATGTTTGTTTTTAACTTACGAGGCCCACTAGTTTTTTCACTTCTTCGGTCTTTGGATCCCGCATCGGATTGTCGAAGCCGTTCACGCCAATTCTGAAACACAAGTTGCATTATTATTATTATTTTATTATAAACATTTAGTACACATAACAGTCGTATCTGTTTAAGAAAAATTATAACTCGAAACCGACTACCCATGCAACTTTTATGATTTTATTTTTTGAGTTTAGCTTCACAAAGTTAGCAAAATAAAGGTAATTAAAAATGTGATTTATTTATGATTCACATGGTTTACAATAAGGTAACTAGGAATTAGAATAAACGCTTATCTAAATATATAGCATGCAAATCTGGTGATGTTTTTTTGACGTGCTATTCGGAATTCGGATGTTGCTAAAAATGTTTCTATTCAAAAACAGTGATTAATTATATAATGCATTTATGTAGATTTAATTTATATACACAGCATATGGAGTATTATGGTATTTACATGTTGTAAGATTAATTACAAATTACGCTGCGTGTAACGTTTGTCGCGTTCTTCGGCGATCGCCGCAATACGAAATGCGCGTAAGTTACCTCAGGGGTTAAGTCATGTATAAGCGGTATACACACGGTATATAATATTAACGATAAGACCTGTCCTCGGGAGGCGACTTGTATCAATATTTCGTAATGTCGTTGGCAGCACTTTATAGTGTATGTATTACATATTTAAGCATGGGTATAAAATTATTATAATACACTGCGAAGACTACGACGAGGTCTATCGCACGAAACAATTTATCATGTTATACTATATAATATGACCATCTATTTGTAATTATATAATGTATGAATCGAAAAGCAATCTCTAATAATTAATAATAATGATGTGAGGTAACGTTGCAAAGCTCCCGGACTTGATGATCCTAGCTGCGTTTGAAAATTATCGAAATAAATATAATTGTGTATCTCTGCTCACACCCCGACCCCACGATTTCGTGGTTGTCATTGAGTGCTGATAACGACTGGTATCCATTGTCTATAATAAAACTATATCGAATTCAGGCAAGGACACTGGGTCATAAAATTACGTTAAAATCGTATCATAATACATAATCCTTAATAATATAAAAATATTTTCATTTTTTATATATATAATTAATCATGTCAATATATACTTAATGCTTTTACAATGCCTGTATAATATAATAATACAAAAATATTGATGGCGTTTCAGGAAGCGCGAACGAGCTGACGTGTCGAAGAGATTTTAATTATTGACTTTGCAGATCGAACAGACGCGGCTGCTACAGCAATATTATAATATTATTAGTATATACTCGGCGAGACTGTTATTTTGTATTGTCCATATTATATACATCGCAGATAGGTACTATAGTGTTGCTGTGAATTTCTGTAGAAATAGTGTAAAAATAATAATAATAGAAAAGAGCTGGAAATTAATTTTTACACACCCACCGACAATACTGTTATTTATATTATATTGTAATATTATTATACATATATGTGTAGTATGTACTTGGGTTATTATTATTGTCATCATCGGCCCACACGCGTGTCCGAGCACAAAAACGCGTGATCATTGCCGGTAATGTTATTATTATTAGGTACTTTATTGTCGTGTCGAAGGACTGCTCTCGGTTATTGATTTTATTTCGCCTCGATCGACAATATTTTAATACATCGGTTTCATACAATCACTATAATAAGATAATAATAAGAGTCGGCCGATCGCTAATAAAATCGGCCAAAAAACTAGCTCACGTTCTATTTTCGTACGTTTGTGTTATTATTTTTTTATTAGGGGGCAGGGGCGGGGAAGAAGTTTTTACAGTGACCGAAGTCAATCCGAACAGCCGACGTACGGTACCTATATTACGTATGGTGCACATGTAGGATCGGTCTGTTGGTCGTAGCGTCTTATATCACTTATGATTAAGAACAATATAAAACGGCGTGTACGCGACGAGGAGTGCTGCAGGAATACGACAATAATTTGGTTTGTGGCCGGCTGATGGTTTTACGCAAAGATTTCCCAACTGGAAGAACGGTAGCGGTGCCGCTGTGGCGTTTCTCGCGTCGGCGTCGACCGCGAATCGTTTTTATCGTCGTCGCAAGTACGTTTGCAATGATATTAATAATAATAATAATAATAATAATTATTATTATTATTATTATCATTGTATGGCGTTGAGCAACGGCCGGGTGATACGCAAACGCCACCTCCACCGCAAGTCTGTCGCGGACTCGAGTCGTCTGGCAACGCACCCGAATACCACAATGTACATTATAATAGTGTAGGCAAGTAGAACGCACAATATTACTGCAACTGTGGCGGCCTCTCGGTTTGCACGTCTGTCGCGCCACTCCACTGCACCCCACACCTATGCCGGTGGAAAGAATCTATCTGTGCGCGCGCGCTTGTGTGTGTGTGTGTGTGTGTGTGTGTGTGTGTGTGTGTGTGGTGTATTATATTTTTACACGACTTTATGTATGTATATATGCATTTACAGAGCGCGCGTGAATCTAGAACAACAAGGACGCGAGCGCAGCGTTATTATTATGCAACACTGACCCAGTCCGGGCGGGCACTTTCACCGAGCTCGTATTATATATACACACCACCCCGCGGCGCCCCGCCCAGAGACCCATTGTTCCGCCACCGCACCACATATTATTATTATTATATTATACACTCTGTCGGTTTTATAATGACGGTGGCGGCGATCTATGTACGATTCAAAAATACAGTCGAATATGGTACGGTATTATTACACGGTGAAAACGAATGGATATTCGCGAATGACCGACTACGCCACTAATAAGCAGCATGTGATTAATACGGCAGGGGAGGTCAAGTGCATCAAGGGAAATCGCTTTCCCTAGTTCAGCCCGACCGACGAGCTTCAATCCTAGATGTATTTATCATTTTTATTGTCAATCATATCGATATCACTAATGTTTTGTTCTTATTTTTAGCCAACATCGAAATGTTATACCCGTAACGGAAAAAGATACCCATGTCCAAACATTTCTAATTGGACAATACAGTTGGGACCTTTTATATTATATTATGGCATGATGTAATACAAAAGTATGCTGTTTTTTTTATAATATGGGTATATATTATAAAAGTATTTGGAAGTCTAACCTGGAAAAAATTAAGCTTGCCGTGAACTGCCCCCGGGGAAAATAACATGGTCACAATGCAGTCGAGTAAAGATAACTTATAGATTATGTCACCCACGCACGCGATCGTTGTATTATATTGTTGTACAGTGAGGACGGACGAGCGGTCGTAACGAATTCGCCAACGCCGTGGCTGCTTATTATAATCGATCGATTTTTCGAAATAAAACCCAACTCATTTATCGTTAAAAACCCAACTCATTTATCGTTAAACACGAGCGAGCACGCGTGTCTATTATTATACGATCGAGATCGTTAATTTATCATTATCGCAATTAACCGATTCGACACGTGCATTAATCCTATACCACGACGTTAATCGCACGTGCGTGCGTGTCACTTTTTAAGTTTTTTTTCACACCCCGTCGAACTGAAACCGATAAAGCGAAACCCTCAATCATACGAAAGGCCAAAACGTTCATACTATTTTGATCGCTTAAATGCATACAATTTTTTTAGGAACTCCTAGTAATCCCGTCCCTCTTTTAATTCTCATTCACAGCCCAACGGTTTTCTTCGGCGTTTCTAATAACATCGTGGGGTTAAAATTTTATTCGTTTTCACGTTACGCGCTCAAAAAACTGAGATGCCAAATATCGTTAAACGTGAAATCGGTTCTTTGAGCTTCTGAGGGCAAACCATCTGTGTGCAATGTCCCCTCCTCGCAGTAACCCGACCGATTTCCGGTAAGAAATTGTAGTGGCCACAGTGAATAATAAACACAAATAGATAAGCGATATCAAAACAAACGCCACCCAACAACATTTTACAATATAATGATACCCGCGGAGATAAGGTTTTAAAAAATCCGTTCAAATCCTCAAAGCCCGCAATTATATCAACGCGAGTCGGTGATGAAGGTGATAATAATATATATTAGTATACCTATAATAACAAAACGCATATTGCATGCGCAATAATTTCGGGTCACCCGTTCACCGCGGGAAACTTCAGTGGTTGCACAATTATGCACGTATTATATTATTATTGTATATGCGAGTGCGCGATTAAAGCCGAGTCGAAAAAAACTCATTGCCGGGTTAAAGATTAATAATGGGGCGTAATGGGGGGAAAGCGACCTGTGTGCATAAACACACACGCACACATATATATTGCACTAAGAGTGAGAACGGTAAAAAGCTTTATGGTACAAAAATCGTTCAGAAAAGGAAAAGCGAAAAAGAAAAAAACCGTAACAGCAGCTCAGTAGTCATAATGTATATATAATGCAGCCCGTAATAATTTAATAACGATTCGTGTCGTAGTTTATTGTTACGAACCGTTCGCTGCTCACAACTGCACTATAAAAATGTATAACAATAATACTATTATTACACGAGAACACGTTTAAAAACATATAACGGACCGAATAAAGAAACGAAATAATCATAATAATGAATAATAATAATAATGACAATATAACAATAATTAAAATTGCAAATTGAAAACTTCACGTAATAATCCGATCGTGACGAATAGTCTGAACATAATATATATAACATAGGTTTTCAGAATAAGCGACTAAATGGCTTATATAAATAATATTACAATATAATGCAGTACGGAGAAAATCTGCATTGAAATCCGTTCCTAAATTATGGAAACTTTAAGTATTTAAGGCACGGACTGATCGTACAAATTATTTTTCTCTTTTGAAAACCACCCACATTAACACATTGAATAAAACCTGATAAGGTCGAACGTAACGTATCAACGAGTCTCTAATCGAGACACCTGTTGTATGTATGAGCTTTTTCCGAAAAAACTTAAAGAATTTTCGGTTCTGGGTTTATCAGATTTGTTTATACCTGACAAAGCTAATTCTGCTCAGTTATTGTCATTTAAACAGTTAAAGAAATAAGAATTTAAGTGCATTTTTAAATTTTAATTTGTTTATT